TCGGGGTCCCCCGAAGGTCCCGAACCAAGAGCCGCCTGTCTCAGCGACCCTGCTGCGAGAGCGTGACGCTACATTGCGTCTGTCTTCCCCTTTTCGGGGTCCGACAGCCTGGAGCTCCTCCTTACGACCGTGCGAGCCGGATCTGCACGCGGATTCGGCAGAGTGCAGGACGGCGAGGAGCTGGCAAAACCCAAATCCACCAAGGCCCAGGGCAAGCGCGTGCAAAAACACAGAGAAGGAAGAGCCTAACGCCGTGAGCACGCAGCCTGAGCTTCAAGGCTTCCGCTACTGGAAAGCACGACGTTCTCCCAACAGCTCTGTCTAGTCGCCTCTATGAGCCATGCTCCAGGAAAACAAAAATCAGGACTGCGCAGACGATTACACACAGCGAGAGGAACCCCGGCTGACACCCTCCATGCTGCTGTTTGCCCAGAAAACAACCGCCCCCTCACTACTTGCTTGGATTATGCTTGTGTCCACGTAAGTCCAGCTCGACAGGTCTCAGGTCCACTGGCTGCGGCGGTGCCGGCGGGCGTTCGCACTCCTCGGTCAGCATGTCCGCGAGGTCGCCCTGCCCGCTGTCCCGCAGGATCGAGAGGAACACCGGAAAAGCATGCTTCCCTCGCGGCGCGCCCCACCTGCCGGGCTTGCTCTCCTCGGCTGCCGGCGCTCTGCGGAGGAGGAAAGCCCAGGACAACGTGTGTTCACTTCCAGCCCAGGAGGTCCACCCAGCCAGCCCTTCCGACCCACATCCAGGGAGGGGAAACGCCAGGATCTGTGCCGAGCACCTCTACGCGGGGCGAACCCGACCGAGACCCAGCCAACACAGTCACAGGGACCCCCAGCAGCCACCCGAACCCCAGCCCCAAACCCCCCCCAGCCACGAAGCCCCGCTGCTGGGCCACGAAGCTGCAGCCCACCGCAGGGCCTGGGGGCAGGGGGAGGAGGGAGCACCCTCAGCCTGTCCCAAGGGGACCACCAGGCCCCCCCAGCCCATCACTGGTGCGTGGGATGAGGTCAGACAGCC